GGAGAGGTATAGCGTCCTGTTACCAGGACATCCAGCGGCGCCTCTTCTAGCTCTCTCCAACGTGACACTGTGGCGCCCCTTCTAGCTCCCCTCTCTCCGTGACAGCGGCGGCATTCTCTCTGTACAGAAATCCACTCTGGTCTTCGTGATTTTCTGCCTTTTCTCCATCTAGAATGTGAGTCCTGTTATGACTATTTCTTCAACGTTGCATCTTCTTTTTTTTTCACTGTCTGTGTACAGCCACTCCCACTGATATTTCCGCCCCCCGCCACCCCCAAACTACACTTGTATACTACTTCCCATAGCCCACTAACTTTATTATAAGGTATTGCTGGGACTTGTAGTCCTGCATAGCTGGTGCTATTCTGCATTGCTGTATAATCACTATACAGCAATGCAGAATAGCACCAACTATGCAGGACTACAAGTCTCAGCAATGCATTATATTTTTAAGTAGGGATCAACACTGCCAATACTGGGCATTTTCACGAGTACTCATACTCGTGAAAATGCCCCGATACTAAACGCAGATACCGGTGTTCAGTCAAGAACGCCGACGTAGTCGAGTTTGCTGACCTCAGCATCTGCGCTTGGGCACAGACCAATATTATCGAGGAAACCAGCATTTATTTGGAAAGTATTTATTTTAAATTGTTAATTGTGACCGTTAATAATATTCTATCCATTATTCACTGCCATGGGCTGCATATTATTACCGGTCACAATTAACGATTTAAACAAAATACTTTGTAAATAAATGGCTGTTTCCTCGATAATCCCGCCTACGTACGTGCAGATACTGGGTCAGCGTTCTCGACAGAACACCGGCACTAAAAATTTTAAACTGAAGCGGCTGCCTGAGGTCCTGCACTTGCTGGGGCCCTCGGCAGCCTTCCTGTTAACCACACAGTGCCATGGTGGTTGGGGGGGGGCCCTTCATAGTTTCTTGCACCGGGGCCCTGAAGGTTCTAGTTACGCCTCTGCTGATGCCCCTTCTGTCCCTCCTGCTTGCTGATGCCCCTTCTGTCCCTCCTGCTTGCTGATGCCCCTTCTGTCCCTCCTGCTTGCTGATGCCCCTTCTGTCCCTCCTGCTTGCTGATGCCCCTTCTGTCCCTCCTGCTTGCTGATGCCCCTTCTGTCCCTCCTGCTTGCTGATGCCCCTTCTGTCCCTCCTGCTTGCTGATGCCCCTTCTGTCCCTCCTGCTTGCTGATGCCCCTTCTGTCCCTCCTGCTTGCTGATGCCCCTTCTGTCCCTCCTGCTTGCTGATGCCCCTTCTGTCCCTCCTGCTTGCTGATGCCCCTTCTGTCCCTCCTGCTTGCTGATGCCCCTTCTGTCCCTCCTGCTTGCTGATGCCCCTTCTGTCCCTCCTGCTTGCTGATGCCCCTTCTGTCCCTCCTGCTTGCTGATGCCCCTTCTGTCCCTCCTGCTTGCTGATGCCCCTTCTGTCCCTCCTGCTTGCTATTTGGAAAGTATTTATTTTAAATCGTTAATTGTGACCGTTAATAATATTCCATCCATTATTCACTGCCATGGGCTACATATTATTACCGGTCACAATTAACGATTTAAACAAAATACTTTGTAAATAAATGGCTGTTTCCTCGATAATCCCGCCTACGTACGCGCAGATACTGGGTCAGCGTTCTCGACAGAACACCGGCACAAAATTTTTTAAACTGAAGCGGCTGCCTGAGGTCCTGCACTTGCTGGGGACCTCGGCAGCCTTCCTGCTAACCACACAGTGCCATGGTGGTTGGGGGGGGGCCCTTCATAGTTTCTTGCACCGGGGCCCTGAAGGTTCTAGTTACGCCTCTGCTGATGCCCCTTCTGTCCCTCCTGCTTGCTGATGCCCCTTCTGTCCCTCCTGCTTGCTGATGCCCCTTCTCTCCTTCCTGCTTGCTGATGCCCCTTCTCTCCTTCCTGCTTGCTGATGCCCCTTCTCTCCTTCCTTCTTGCTGGTGCCCCTTCTCTCCTTCCTGCTTGCTGGTGCCCCTTCTCTTCGTCTTGCTTGCTAGTGCCCCTTCTCTCCGTCCAGCTTGCTAGTGCCCCTTCTCTCCGTCCAGCTTGCTAGTGCCCCTTCTCTCCTTCCTGCTTGCTGGTGCCCCTTTTATCGCTCCTGTCCTGGGCACTAGCACACAAGTACCATACAATAGACACAGCCCCGTTGCACTGCTCGTGCAGTCCTACCACCGCAGCAAAGGGCTTAGCTCCGCCCAGCCCATGTGTCCTCCCCAAACCGCCCAGTTAGGGCGTTCTCCCACCCTTCCTATGCTGTGTGTTTTCTACGGGCTGGTGACGTCACGCCTGGTCAGTATGGCGGCCGGCGTCCTGGAAAGAGCAGGGATGTGGTGGCTGGTGATGGCGGCGCTGTGTTGGGTGGTGAACGGGCAGGATTCTCTGTACGGAGCCCAGGACCCCGGTATACACATTCTAGACCGGAGGACAGTGAATGCCGCTCTGTACAATTCCTCCTCCGCCTGGCTGCTAGAGTTCTACTCCTCTTGGTGCGGACACTGTATCAGTTACGCCCCCACCTGGCAAAGCCTGGCCGCGGACGTGCAGGGTGAGAGCATACCTAACTGGCCAGGGGTGATATATGTGGGTACAGGGGTGTGCGACATTATGGGGGTGGTATATGGGGTATAGAGCATGTATGATATAACTGGTGGTGGTATATGGGGTACAGACTCTGTGACATCACTGAAATGTTATATTGGATTCAGAGGCTAAGCACTGGGGGTGCTATATGGGGTGTATGACATCACTGGACGTGCTATATAGGGTGTAGCGATTGTGCGACATCCCTGGGGGTTATATATGTGGGTACCGGAGATTTGTGACATTACGGGGTGGTATGTGGTGTTTCAGGGATATATGACATCACTGGCGGTGGTTTATGGGATACAGAGGATGTGTGACATCACTGGAGGTGGAATATCAGGTATGGGGGATGTTTGATATCACTGGGGGTGCTGTATAAGGTGTAGCAATTGTGGGACACTGGGGGTGATATATGGGGGTACAGTGTGTGTGGGACATCACTGGCAGTGCTTTATGGGGTACGGGTATGTGACCTCACTGGAGGTGGTTATATGAGATATGGGGGCTGTTTGACATGGGGGTGCTATATAGGGTGTGTCGGTTGTGGAACATCCCTGGGGGTGATATATTAATTTATAGGGGGTGATATATGGGGGTGCAGGGTGTGACACATTACTCGGGTGGTATATGGGACTTTAGGGGATGTGACATCACTGGCTGTGGTGTATGGGGGATATGTGACATCACTGGTGGTGTATGGGGGATGTGTGACCTCACTGGTGGTGGTATAGGAGATACGGGGTCTGTGTGACATCAAAGGGTGCTATATAGGGTGTGGCGGTTGTGTGGCATCCATGGGGGTGCAGGGTGTGTGACATTACTGGGGTGGTATATGGGGGTTCAGGGATGTGTGACATCACTGGCGGGTGGTTTATGGGGATGTGAGACATCACTGGCAGTGGTATTTAAGATATGGGGGCTGTGTGACATCACTGGGAGTGGTATTTAAGATATGGGGGCTGTGTGACATCACTGGGGGTGCTATATAGGGTGTGGTGGTTGTGGGACATCCCTGGGGGTGATATATGAAGTTACAGGGGTATGGGGCACCCCTGGGGGCCACATATGGGGTACAGGGTGTGACTGACATTACTTTGGTGGTATATGGGGGTTCAGGGCATGTGTGACATTACCGGGGTGGTATATGGGGGTTCAGTGGATGTGACATCACTGGCAGTGGTTTATGGGGTAAGGGGGGATGTGTGACATCACTGGCAGTGGTTTATCGGGTACTGGGGATGAGTGACATCACTGGGGGATGGTTTATGAGATATGTGGGCTGTGTGACATCACTGGGGGTGCTCTATAGGGTGTGGCAGTTGTGGGACATCCCTGGGGTGATATATATGGTGCAGAGGATGTATGACATCACTAGGGTGGTATATATGGTGTAGGTGATGTATGACATCACTGGAGGTGGTATACATGGTGCAGGTGATGTATGACATCACTGGAGGTGGTATACATGGTGCAGGTGATGTATGACATCACTGGAGGTGGTATACATGGTGCAGGTGATGTATGACATCACTGGAGGTGGTATATATATGGTGCAGGTGATGTATGACATCACTGGAGGTAATATATATGATGCAGGGAATTTATGACATCACTGGAGGTGGTATATGGGGTACAGAGGATGTGATATCACTTGGGGGTGGTATATATGGGGCAGGGCATGTGACAACTGGGCGTGGTATATATGGAGCAGCGGATGTGACATCCCTGGGGGTTGTGTATATGGGGAAGGGGATGTGACATCATTAGGGGTGGTATATATGGGGCAGGGGATGTATGACATCACTGGGGATGGTATATAGGGGACGTAGGACCGGAGAAAGGACTGGGAAAATCCTAGTAGACCAGTCCTCTGCCATTTGTAGAACCTTCATGACAACACTTTGTTGTTGCTTGTCAGTAGAAGTATACGGGTCCTGTATGCTATAACTTGCCTTCTGAATTCTGCATGTGCCTGCCATCTTTGTTTATTAGGTGTTATTGGTGGTTTCCTGTACATGGTCATGGCTTTCTGCCCTGTATATTGGATTCTGCTCCACATCCCAGCTGCCACTGTGAATTGTATTGGTGATGGTCATACATTGGCATTATCCCATAGGTTGGTGTTGATGTGACTGTGAACAAGCCTAGTACAATGACTTACATTTGATGGTTTCACCCGACCGTGTACATTGGTGTGCTGATCATAACCTTATCTCTGGGGAACAATAGTGATCATTTAGTGAAATGGATTTATCTCCCCAAGACTTGTCAGACGGAGGTCATGAAGTGCCGGTAAAGTCTGTTGTGTGTGTTTTTCAAATTCAGTCCATTATTGTCGGCATCAGGGGACAGCTAACGTGTTGTCTCAAGGTAGCTCCAGAAGTTGTGCTCTCCTGGTGTATGTAGCATCCCTATGTGCAAACCTCACACGCGTGTTTGTGCACGCGGCACTTGTTTTCAGTTTGTTTAATAGACTGCCATAGCTGATAAACCTGAAAGACCAGGAAGCAGAAGCAGGACTTCTGTATTTGTGTCAGCTGTCACTTTCCCAGCCCTGCATGTGTTCGTGTCAGCAGTCACTCTCAGGGTTTTGTGTACGTGTGTCATCTATCACTCTGTGATCCATCGGGTCAGATAGGAAATTGAAGTGCACCAGGTCACAGGTTCTTTTTAAAGAAAAAGTCATTTTGCCCATTCAAGGCTGGGCCACGGTGTCTTTGTAGGTGACCGTCTTGAACCGCTGATACTTCCCTTGGCAATGCTCCACCTCCTCAGTCTCTGTTGCAGGCAGGGGCAATACCTTGTGAGCATGTGACCTCCTCCCATGTAACAGTGCTTGAGTGTAGCAGCCTTTCACTAGGCCCAAGCACTGTCACATTACTAGGAGAGTGATGTCATTGATCCCCTTAGCATCTCTGACACTAGAGATTAGTCATTTTGTTCTGAGTTGACATGGTGACAGTGTCTCTTTAAACCCCAACCTTGCAACTTTTTTTTTTCTAACTTCCCTTCATTCTGGGGCCTCTCCATTCAAAGATGCACACCTGCTGCCTCCGTGTATGGGAGAACATTACTCCATGTAACAGTTCTGGTGTTTGTTTGGCTGCTTGGCTCCCAGGGAGAAAGTTCTGTGTAAGGTCTGGAGCTCAGACAGGGATTCTTTTTGCATACGCGAGCCAGGAGCAGAGGGGAGGTTCATATAAACATGCATCTGTGGATGCCAGCAGTAAAGTGCTGTGTTCTCCCCTAGAAATGTTTCAGTTGGGTGGGTTGAAACTGTAGCCAGCTTATAAAAAAAAGGAGCAGCGGGGTTCATGGTTTGTTCATACCAAGCGCTTTCCAGGAGCAGAGCAGTTACAGACCGGATCAAAACTGTGTCCAATGTATTCCAATGGTATTTTAGGCTCTAGTTCACATCGCAGCGCTCAGTTCCAGAGCATGTAAAAAAAAACTGCAGCAAGCCCTATTTTACCTGCTCTGGAACGCATGCAAACGCCCTGGAATGCACTGAAAGCCAATTTTAAACTAAAAAAAAAACAAACCAAAAACGCGGCAAAAAACGTGTGCAGAAACTCATGCAGATCTGGTCTGCATTTGGTGTGAACAAGCACTCAGTGAGAAATAGAAACCTTGTGCAAATATTTATCAATTCAGTTTTCTGTAAAAATAAACAAATATACAGTATGTGACGACATTAAAATATTTCAGCCCGTCACTTTGGAATTATACCTAAATGATGGCCCTGAGATTATTCTTCCAGATCTGT